TAAAGTTCGACGATGATCTATACGTCCGACCACATCTCCTGCTGAATCGTTTGGCCAGCTTGCAGCGAGCTGAACTCTACTGGGGTGCCTTCGACTACAGCGGTATGGTCGTGCGAGACCTGTCCGACGCACATTACACTCCCTACGATGTCTGGCCAGAGCCTGGGCTACTATTCCTGAGAATCTCGAGCTTTTGGAGAACCGTGAGCCGATGTCATACTGACTCATACAGCACCAGTAGTAGTAATCTTGTTCCTAAACTTTTCCATCCCGGAATCCCTCATCACACTTGGGCTTGCAAGCTGAGCCCTAAACCCCGAAACCCCCAGAATCTCCCAACCCTAAACCCTGCCATTTTGGCTCAAGCTGCTCGGCTCAAAGCGGTAGCATGTACCCTGCGGCTAAAGCTTCAAGACATCTTGATCGCAGCTCTAGGAGTCCTACTTAAAAAGGGTTTGGTATTGGCATGCAAGACCCAGAAGGGTTCAAGGATGTGAAAGCAGTTCGACATCTGGGATATGTCCGGTGCCGGCGGCGGCCTAGAAGAGCCAGCTGCGGAAGGACAGTCGGCCCCAGGCGGAGAGCCAGATCGATTAGCAGGATGGCAGATGTTGCTGGCCTCGTCGAGACGCCGTGCATGCGCAATGGCGTTTGGAGCACCAATTAACTGGAGAGGAGGCCTGGACGTCAGAGGAGGAGGCATCGTCGACGTCCGAAGAGGGCGAGGAGGTGGGCCACCTCCCAGTGTTCAGCCCCTACACCGCCCACAAGCTTCTCTTCAGAAGTGCCACGACCCCTCCCGAAAGGGAGGGGGGGGAGGCAGGCAGCTCCTGGGAAGAGGTGCGACTCCCTCATCGGGAATGCTGAGGGTATACCAAAGACTTCGTACTCGCACGTGGTATCTGTAGGTGGACGCTCGCCTGGCACCGACACCCCTGCACCATCAAATTCGCACTTGACCTCAGTGAGCTGGAATCCTTCGCGGAGCAATACATGTATAACACGCTGACTGGTGTTGGTTGGGAAATGACTGCATGGAATTTATTTGGTTGGTATACTACGCTGCTGAATGGGGTCTGCAGACTGCACGACCGATATACTGGAATTTAAACACCAAGCATGGGCATTCGGCCACCTGTTACTAGCTTCGGCTTGCGCTGGGATGATGAGGAGACCAAAGAAATGTGAATTTGGCCTCCCTGCGGTCTGCACGAAACAGTGAAGCTGTGCGTCACTGGAAGGGCTGCATGCAGAATTTTCTGCATGCCCGAATCTGAGTCTGCATGGAATGCAAAATGAGATACATATTCGGCCTCTCATTGGCCTGCAAGAGAGAAGTGGAGAAGTTCGTCACTGGAAGCTTTGCATGAAGAGTTGCCTGCATGCCCGAGTCTGCCTGGAACACAATATATTCTTGCTGGTTGCTGGGTGTGAGACTTGCGATCTGCAAAAGATAAGTGCAGAAGGTTGTCACTGGACAGTCTTGCATATGGAATTTACTTCATACCGGAGTGCTTGCCGTGCATGCAAAGCAAACTTGGTCGGACTGGGCATGTAACTGGTTGGACTGCATGATGCAACGATGGAGAAGTTCTGCAAGCTTGAATCTGTTTGAGCGAATTTGTCTGCATGGAACGAAGCCGGAGTTGAGACTCAGAGTTTCTGCCATGATCGCCATGCTCGGCATAAATTTGCATTTAAGATGCATGCCACTGCATGGGAGATGCACGAAAGTATGAGAGTTGCATGTGAGAAGCCACGGCATTTTGCTGAACAGCAAGCTAGCTACGAACCAGTCAGAAGTTTCACAGGTCTCCTGGAAGGCGCAACTAGGGCATGGGTTTTTGGGGGTTTAGCGTTTGCTTTCTGGGAGACTGCTGTCAGTTGGGACCTTGATCTATGCTTGGTGACTTGTCGTTGGCTTGTCATGGGTCGTGTCTGACAGCCGCCTGGGTGGTGAACCTACTCCCTGGGCTGAACACGTAGTCGCGTCGAACCTACTTCTGCAGACCTTGCCAGGCCTGTCCGAGTGTGAGTGTCAAAAAAACCCTATACTCTAAGCCCTAAGCCCTAAGCCCCAGACCCAGCCGAGGAGCCGGTATTCCCTGCCTATGCTCGAGGTGCCGCCCTGGCGATGTCAATGGACCTGGTGCGCCTGATCGCTGAGCACGAGGAGAAGCAGCCTTTCAAGAAGATCCGGGTAGGATCTCAGCCCAAAACCAGACCATGGACCCGGACTTGTTCTTGGTTTAGAGTTTAGGGGTTTGTGGTTTTGGGGTTTAAGGTTTAGGGGTTTAGGTTTCAAGGCGATTGCACAGGTCCTGGTGCAAGAAGGTTTCAGGGTTTAGGTTGGATGTGCGACTTTCTTCACTGAGTCCTTGATAACCAGTGGGTTAGTCGAGCTTTCCCACGTCCTCTCCCCTCTTGTAACATGGGCAGCTGCCCACTGTCATCGGCACCTCCTGTAAAATGGCAGTTGCTCGTTCCTGTGGTTTGAATGTAGCGGCCTGAGTAATTAGAGCATGCTTTTGTCGGATATCTTAGTATACATAGACCAATACACTATAGAACGGTGATGTTATTACTTTCGCCTCAACTGTTTCGGTTGCTTGCCCTGGCGAGGTCGAGGATGTCTCCTATGGCTTCTACCTTTGGCAGCTGACTTATGACAGGAAAGTCACCTCCGTGACCATCTTCGACCGTGACGAGGCTTCGGTGGGGTACTTCAGTCTCAGAGGTCTGAATCTCGCAATAGGATGCCTTTGTCGTCCCTGCGAAAAAGTAGACGATCCCGCAAACCTTGGTCGTAGTACTTAGTAACCGTGTATCAGACTTCGTGTTTTGTGGTACCCCCGTGAGGACCACTTCGCCATGGATGCCAAGTGCTGTACGGAGGTTTCGGGCTTAGCCACGGAACCCCGCAGCCGGTGCGAATGAGGTGCATGTCGTCGAATATAGGTTGTACGATCCCACATGGGTCAGCTGAAGTCCAGAAGGTTGTCTCGAAGCCATGTTGTAAGGTCCTTGTAAGAGCTATCATGGTGAATCTGGACTGCGGGTTCTCCCCAGAGCGGCCCTCATCCTTGTCAGTTGAAGCTGCCGTGCTCTTTGCCGAGGCAACACATCCGAACAACTGCTGGCTGCCCCTCAATGAGTGTCTCGTCCAATTCGGTTTGGTGTTGGACTTGTCTGTACAATCAGGAGCGCTTCCGCAACGTTTGAAGTGTCTTCGTCAGTTGCGCGTCCGCGTTTGGGTGTGGGAGGGTCTTAGCACAACTGAAGTCTTCGGCTTTGTTAGCTGGAAGCCTAGGCCTGCACAAACTGACAAACTACTTCAAGCTTTCAAGTGATCGATGTCTCCGCGCATGGCTGTCAGGAAGACGTGGATCGCCCACCACGTCACTCCCAGCACCATCCGCTGTATGTTTGCAAAGGACTCCGTGCAATGTCGGAACCTGATTAAGAAAATTTTGGGCCTCTAACCCCAAAATAGTAGGGTTAGTATAAACATGCAAAGTAGAATGCCCCCCTGGAGGATGTGGGATCGGGGTTTTACACCCCATCAAGCTCGGAGGCTCGAAGCATGTGCCTTGGATGTGAAGCGTCGTAGCGTCAGGTGGGAGGTGCTTTGATTTCGTCTATGCAGCTAACAAAGAGCCCGCGACCTTCCCAGAATGCCCGCGACTGTTCCAACTCCACTATTGAAATTCCTACGAATCAGGAGTATGATGGGAGTGCAAGCCCAACCCCAAGCCAAGGACCGGGCTTCTTGCCGAGATGGCGGCATTTGATTCTCACGTCCAATCCGCCGCCGGCACCATTCAAGGAGGCACAGAACCCCTAACCTTACAGTGCCTCACCCTAAGCCCCCATAAAGCTTGCTTGTAGAGTCCCACCATTATTCAACCCCAAAACTCTCCAAACAGGTAAGATCCCGTCTTCTGGGTCTGGACCTCCTGCAGACCTCTGCGGCTGCGTGGTCACCCCGCCCGCACACCCAGGCAAGCCACTGCGACCGGCCCACTCTTCAGTAGACGTTTTCTGTTTTTTCAGTTTAGGTGTCCTATATGATCGACTCGAGTCCGTGTGAGAGAGAGAGAGAGAGGGAGAGAGAGAGAGAGAGAGAGAGCGAGTTTAGGTGTCCTATGCGACGTGCGCGTTCATGCTGTAGTACGGAGTTGTGCAAGTTTGCAATGTGAATGTTATCATGTGTATATATATATAAGTATTAGACACAGCAAGTTACATTCACATGAACATAGGTTCGTAGAGATCGTTTAGCAGTTTAGCCACAGATGTGTTCTGCATTGGATTCATGCACACTAACGCGTGTGTATATGCACCCATTTATGTGTGTATATATGTGCATTTATGTATACCTACACCGTAACTTTCCGTTACTTAAGCGTATGATCCTGTCCTGGGACCCAAGACTCAAGAATAAGATGAGCCCACCCTGAACCCAAAGCACTAAAAATCCTAATCTCTAAACCCTAAACCCTAATATAAAACCCTAAAACCCTAAACCCTAACCCTAAACCCTAAAACCCTAAACCCCAAACCTAGACCCTCAACCCCCAGGCAAAGGGGAGGCATGACGGAGCTGAGCTCCGGCCCCAGGCTTCACGTCGGATAGCGGCGCACGCTGTCCAAAAAAGGGATGCTGAGCTCTCTCAGAGTTTCTGTCTGTAGGATCAGATGTTGCAGTACCTATATATATATATATATGTATATATATATATATATATACACATGTATATGTGTATATACTGTGTATATATATATATATATATATATATATATATGCATATATGTATGTTTATCCATGTGTTGATACTTTTGAATAAACAGATACATACAAACATAATCATACATATGTATGCGTAGAATGGAGTCTAAGTCCAAGTGTAAAACCCGTGAGTGTTCTGCCCGTCTCACTTCGCTCAGAAGCTTGCAGCCCAGTCGAGCTTGAAGCTCCCTGCAGCAGTGGTCGGGTACAGGACCGCAGAGCTTCAGGCCATCCACCAAGCTTTCCAGAAGGACAAGCGCAGCTATTGCGACGAGTCTTTCCCTCCAACAAAACAGGGCCTGGTACCCAGGATCACTTCGAAGTTGCTTTGGGGTGGTTATATTGAGAGGGAAGTGAGCACCACCGTTGCTTCCAGTGGACTTCCAAACAATCGAAGCTGAGGGCGCGTCTCGAGGTGGTGCAGGCTCGTGAAGCCAAGCTGCGCTTGCATGGCAGGTAGCACATCAACACTATCAGCATACTATCAGCCATCAAAAGGGAATCAGCTCGTTGAAAAAAGTGCGGGCGTGGAGGATTTCGCTGCACAAGTGACCCGGGAGGCCTCATGAAATCGGTGCCCACGACGACCGCATCCTTTGGCGTCGCGAGGACAGCTTGCATAGCTGCAGCCTGAAATCGGACAAGACCCGAAGCATCTCGAATTCCCAGGTAGAAGTCTCAACACCCCAACGATGCCCTACGAGCCCTGGGTGAACACAAGCAGGACTGGCAGCTCTTCCGTGGCACTCCCAGTGCCGATGACGTCCAGCAGGGCGAGTCCGCTGCCGAGAGTTTGGGGTTCAGAGTTCGACGCCCCACCTATAGTCTCCATTGAAGTTCCTTTTTTTGGTTTGACCAAATATGTAATTAGGATCCTTTATAAGGTAACCCCAACAAGGAACTACAACGGAGACTATGGGCAAAATCGTTTAACCCTAAACACGTGTTTGATGACTGCTGTTACTGTGCCCTTTACAGAATCTCTGACTCGTTTAACATTGCCGCGGATTTGTATTCCTCAGTTTCAGAGATTGTATTCCCAGAGGAGCCTTACCTTAACTACTCTGTATATAGATCCTATACAGCTCCTAGCAAGCACCAGCTCTCCAACCCAGACGGTCCTACAAAAGAAAGCCTCCAAGCTTTCCATGCTACGTTCCATAAACACCTATCAAACCCTGCTGGACCCGCTTTAAAACAATTGATAAAACCTCCAGGATAGCAGACTCCCAATAATCCGACCATCAAACCCTAGACAAATACACCCAAGCTCCCCAGCTTAGGAGACTGCTGTACAGCCCATTCACCCTTGTTTAACGTAAACCTGGGTCACGTCCTATGAAGCTCCCTGTGCCTTGGGAGTCTCACTGTTATTGGATCCTTATGCAGCAAGCTTGTGTTGGGTGGGTTTCAAAATTAGGGTCCCTGTTTGGGTGCCCTAATTATTAGGTGCCATTAGGTGCCGTATTCCAAGAGGGACCCGAAAAGGGACCATAATTTTGACAACTACCCTAATGCAAGCATATTCTATGGATTCACAGGTTAGGAGAACTTAACTAAATGAATGTGAATATAGAGTATATGCTTTGCTTTTCTGTATAGATTTATGTACCCAGGTTAGGAGACTGCTGGTTCCTCTCTTCGCTGGCTGCCATGGCCGAGTTTCAGGGCGGCAGGCTGGTGCAGAGGCCATCGGACGTCCTTTGATGGGGAGGTTTTCTCATAATGAGGGTTCCTTGTAATAGTAAAGGAACCCGAAGCCAAGCCTATAAGGGTTGCTTTTTGATTTACCTATGGTTAGTAGGGAATGGAGGAGTGGGGTACAAATATAAGTACTATTACTACCATTCTTCCATTCCCTACTAGCCAAAGGTAAGTTGCGGGACCGAGAATGGGGGGTTAAGGGCTTTTGGTCCAGGTTTAGGGCAACCATAGGGGACCCTACCATAGTACCCTAAATATAGTAGGATCCTTATTATAAGGACCCCAAATAAGGTACCCCAAATAATCGGAAACCCCCATATGGGTTCGTTTTCGTGAAAAACAAAACTTTCAGGCTTCGTAACAGGGTTCATATGGGGATACCTTATTCAGGACCTCTGAAAATTAGTCTTCTCAGTTCCTGTAGTGGGTTTGATTAAACAGGCTTTGCAAGGGTTTCTTCGGACCTTTACTGGGTTCCCTTTTTGTTACGGGTACTTAGAACGGTAAGTAGCGGGGGTGCCGACAGGGGCACCCTGTTTAGGGAAGCTTAGGCATTTGCAAGGTTGTTTGAAGAACTTGCCAGTGGTGTGACCAGGATTGTATATCTTGTTCAAAGGAAAACTGGGAATTGAGGGTTCCTCACAGATCCTTACATACCAAAATGGAAACACAGTCCCGCTGCAAACAGCAGTTGGTAAAACAAAGGCAGTATGTATATTGAGGTTGGCAAGCTCAAAAAGCACATACACATGTGTTGAAGCACAACTGCCGAATCGATACGCCTTTCGACATGCCAATGCATATCAACAACTTCAGTCATATTTCTATGGCCACATTCACAACCTGAGACCTCCACTTGCTGCTATATAAAGGTGACTTTGGGTTCTAGTTGCTTGCTCCCATATTCCCTCCACCCCCCCCCCCCCCCCAACCCTAAACCTGAAGCCGCCAAACTCTGAAGGCCCCCAAGCCATAAGCATCCTAAACCCGTAACCCATGACTGGGAGCAGGTTGCTCCCGGATCAGCGTCAGTTCAGTCGAGCTGGGGCGCGGCACACGGAACCCGGGCAACTTTTGTTTGCTCCATGTCGGCTGCCTTTGTACCGGTTCCATGTAGGGGTACCGGAGCATAAGAACTCGCGCCACTGTGTTGCAACCTTACCGACTCTATACTGTAGGCCTACCTGGTGCGACTCTGGCTTGGTGGCCGCTGGCGGGATGTGCCTGCCTCGGATAGCATGCACGTCTCCACCCACATTGAAGTATTGGCGCAGCCTGACCACAGCAAACACAGACGCTCCAACAAACTCAAAGCCGAACGAAGTGGAATCTAGGCAGGCTGCTTGGTCACTTGCCACTTAGGTCATTGTCGATGACCGCCTGCCATGCATCGGCAATGGTTTCGGGACGTGCCCTGCCGCGGACATGAATCGCTTCAAGATGCCAGACATGTCCAGGAGTCCATGAGAGTGCTGCTTTATTTGCTGCACATAATTTAAAGCCTCGATCCTGTATGCGAGAGGGAAAAGCCTCGGTCGTTGTTCTTTCCAAGAAGATGGCCGCCGCCGTGCAGGTACACGCAGCTGGCGTATTGTGCGACAGGGAAATGTGTGCCACCCAGGAAGGGTTGAGCTCAAAGTTCGGCTTCCGCAGTAGCCGTGCAGAAGCAGCTCTTGCTTAGAGACCTCGGTGTTTATTTTTATCGACACTGTAGAGTCAGTGTAATTAGAGATTATACTTTCTATAATGAATATATAGAGATCTTGAAATGAATGTCAGCCTCAGGTCAACTCTGGGCCAGCATCATTGAAAAGGGCTTCGCGAAAGCCTGTGGCTCCTACGAGGCCCCGTTTGCAAGCCGTCGGCCCTCGCATGCATGTACCGGACAACAGCAGGGCTCTTGCATGATAACATACCCTTCGAGACGACCGCCCGAGCATGGAGCTTGAATTGTAGAATCTTTAGTGTAAGGTCTGCGGTAATTACGGTCTGTGGAAAGACGTTTCTACAGAGCCCTGTTTAGAACCTGCAACAAAGGCACCCCTGATTCAGTTGAACCCAGCAAATCCACCGGCCAGGCGCTAGCTGGCGGGGAGGCCGAGGTGGGCACGGCCCGGTCGCTTTTGCAAGCTTGCGGGGTCTTTCGGAAATGCGGTGATGCTATGCTATCCCTGTAAGTATAGTTTTGTTTACATTCGCCACATATCCCAAAAACCCCGGCTCTGCTTGGTAATCAAGGCAGTCAAGCGAATTTACGGAGATTGGGCACCCGATTCGAGCAGCCCAGATTGCAGGAAGCGCTGACGATCCTCACCGGCTGGCCCTGCGAAGCCATCCAGTTTGAAAAAGAGGCAGCCAACGAACCGGTAGTGTAGCACCTTGCAAGCCGCACCTTCAAGCACCGCCACAGGATTTAGTAAGTGAGCTGTTGCGGTTTGGCGTCCGAAGCATGTCTGGAGACATGACATATAGCGACGGTGCTTCAAGCGACAGGAAGAGACCTAGACTACATGTAAGCTCGAAAGAGTATGAAAGCAAGGAGTTTGATGCCGACATCCTATGGGCAACGGTCTGCACGTCCAGAGATGCTTCTCGCCTGCATGCAGCAGTGGCAGCCATGGACGTGCTTTGCAGTTTCGGTCCAGACAGTAGCAGGCTCCAAGCGTGGGCATTGTTGCATGAACTGTCCAGTCTCTATCGGCTCTTTACTGAACAGATAAACATGAGCCGAGACACCAGCTGCAGGCGAAGTTCCTCATGACGGTATCTACACGGTCCAACAAGTCTCGAAGTGAGGAGGCGCTTTGAATCCTTCTTGAAATCTGAAAGATACGAGAGTACAAGGCTTGTCCGGGCCATTTATGTTTCCAGTACATGTCGGCAGTCAAAGGGCGCATGCCTCTTGCTGCAGTGGGCGGCAGACTCCAGTGGCAGCGCTGCTTGAGCAGTGGGCAGGACATTCGTGCAGCCGGGCTCGTTCCGAACCATGCATACTCTCTCATCGATGCCCGGGCCTTAAATCGACTTGTGCCTGCTTGCATCGTCAATTGTGGCAAGGATGCTTTTATCGCTGATCTATAGGTTCTGCATCCTGCAAATAGCAGGTTTTCGACGTACTGGACAGTCGCCGGTGGCCTAGTGGCTTAGACTGGCGATCGGCGCTGTCAATGGCAGTTTGCATGTGCACAAAGGATCATATTTCAACTTGACGGTGCCCGGTGCAGCATCAAGCTGCCACTGTGACGTGGTCACACCACTAGTTTCCACGAAGCCTCAGGTGGGGACAGGCTACGCTTGCTAAAGATCCGGAATCCCCACGCCAAGGCACGGTTTCTGCAGTCGTCTCCACTGCATTTCATGTATTCAAGAGGCCGTACAAAATCAAGGGACCCTAATATAGTACCCTAAATAGTAGGATCCTGATTATACGCCCTATTTTGACATGATGTGGCTGGCTCGGTCAGGATCGATGGCGCGGCAGCTGGTCCGAGACGAGTTCCTCGGTACTGCATTGCTTGTAGCAGGCAAGTGCTGGCCACAGAACTGCAAAAGTAGGCCATGTCCCACACTTTCTGGCTGGTCTGGTAATTGAAGAACCCAAGACCCCCGAGACACCATTGTTCTCGCAACAGCTGAATGTGTTGCATCAGCCCTCATCCTCACGGCAACTATGCTGTGCTCCGAGCAGACCGGCCAACCTTGCTATGGGATAAGGTGGGTTTTGGTTGAGGAATTGCGTGTAAGTTGATCTATAGTAAATATTTCGTTGTCCTTATTATGGGGAGTTAAGAGTTACATTTCCCTAACAAGAACCCAGTAAGGCCACTTGTGGACTCCTGAGCTTCGTGAGCAGCTGGGCTGCCAGAAAGCCAGTCAGGCTTGCATGCATGGTGCACACGGAGAGCCTGCAATCCATGTCAGGAGCGCAAGCTCTTACAGATATGTGGTTCGTCAATAGCTTCATGGATATCTGCAAGGCACGGGCATGTGAACCTTGGCCAGGCTGGCATGTTCTTCATGTGCTTTGGCGACTTTTTGAGATGGCACGGGGCTCTGCGTGACGTGGTCGATGCCGCAGATTTCGCTATCGTGATGCTATAGGCTTGCGAAGAAGCAACATGCGCCCAAAGGCGTGTGGCTAGTGGCACATACATACTTGCTAAAATTTGCTAAAACACTAGCAGCAGCCAGTCGGTGTCAATTGGCTAGTCGGCCTTGGGGGTTGTCCTCGAAGCTTCTTTGGCTTGCGATGCTTGCTATTTTGGTTCCTGTCGCTTGGAACTACACCCCTGTGACTGCAGGGCTTGGCTAGGAGTCATGTCATTGGTTCGACATGAAGCTTCAAGCGCCTTCCGTGCTTTTATCAGACAATGGACATGTGGACTGGCCACTAGCAAGTTCAATGGCGTGTGTTGGGATAAACGATGTCAGAAGTTCAAAGCGGCTGTCAGCTTTGAAGGGAAGCTGCATTGTGCCGGCAGATTTCAGTCCGAAGTTGAGGCAGCACATGAGTATGATAAGCGGTTGCGGGAGCTATGCCCTAGTCCTCACCGGTTGAAGAAATCCCTGAACTTTCCATCGCAGGCAGAGGCTCTTTTCAGTGAAAGTGCACCGGAAGCTCGATCTCGTGCCGTTGCAGTACATCACGCAAGCGCGGGGAATGCTGAGGCTGAATCCCTCAATCGCTTGCAGAGGATGTTCCGGTCGTCATCTCAGGCAGATGACTACGAAATCATCATTGTTGCAGGCTCCTCTCGTATTGATGCACTTTTCCGGCCCAAGGGGTCCGGTCTTGGTGGTCTCTGTCTTCAAATGAAGTCCGCCGCTTCGAGAGGGGGCGAGAAACGCACGTATTTCTTCCAGCACTTGCAGGGATATGCAGGGATGCTGTTGCTCCTGATTCCTCGTGATCTTGAGCACGACGTGCTTTGGGCCATTCCGGGAAGCTCGTGCGCGTTCAGGAATGCCGTGGTGACCTTAGGCGGAAGCCGAGACAAGTCATGGCGTGTTGAGGACGTGGGGCGTACCTTGGAGGATTGCTTCCGGCAAGCAGATGCTTATCCTCACTATACACCCGGCGATGCCCACCTCCAGCGTGGCAGTGCTACCCACAGAATGGAAGAGCGGGCCCACCAGCTGATGGCCAAGGTCCTCGAATGCGCCCAGCTGCGTCTTCGCAAATACGCATCATTGCTCAGACACACTGTCGACTCTGTGCTAAGTATGCACAGCGCCGAGTGGCACGTGCAAGAGAAGGCGTCCAGTCTACACAAATCCACAGGCGGGCACAGATATGCGATAAGTCTCTTCAGACACGGCGGTGCTGTGGGTCGAGTTGCCTACGCTCAACATGATTTTGATTTGCTTCTGGCTGCTATTATGGATGATGGGATGCTCCTGGGCATGTTTGTTTTTCCAAACTGCATTTTGGCAGCCCGGGCACTCGTTGGACATAAACCAAAGTCAATGGTGCTGTACCCGCCATGGCGCTTACCTTCAACTTTGGCTGGCAGAATCCGAAATTCTTGGCAGCTGGATCACTTCGTGGATCTGCACGAATGGAATGGCGGACCCATGCTTCCTCCTGCAACACGCCAGCGGTTGCTCGAGGTATTTGGTAGGCTTCGATGCCACAAACCGAGGATGTTAACATATAGTGAGACTCGACGCGAAGCAAGATTCGGTGCATGCGTTGTTGGAAACCTGATGAGGGAATGGTCCTGCTGATATTCCGCACTATATTATATAGGCAAGCTGACAGAGTGGATTGTTGTCGCAGCTTGTTTACGAAGGTAAGACAGACTGATACCAGTACTTGGGGATGTGTGCTGGTGAGTCCTTCGCTGACCTCTCTAAGGTTCGAGCGCTGCACCATCTGCAAGGTGCGAAGTGACGGCTGGCACAAGGCGCCCGGATTGCCTCAGCGCAGCGGTTTGCAATGCAACCTCCGCAACCCTAAACCTTAAGCTCTTGGGGGTCGGGAACCTCGCCTGGCATGTCCGAGTTGTGAAAGCGTAAACCCTACGCTCTGTATTATGTGGAGCCTTGCCTGCCTCGTGCGAGTGTGAGCGTCGAAACCGTAAGCTTCGGCTGCAGGTTCGAATGCCGACAGAACTACCTGGCAGCTTGGTCCTGCCCAGCTCAGGCCGGTTCTCGTCTTCCACATGTCTGCTTGCACGCCGTTTTGAGGGTTTTTTCGTGCCGTCAGAACCATCAAAGAGGGTATCATATTAGTTAGCGTGGCCGTTGCATGTTTCACAGCATGATGTTGCTGCTGCGGGTGAGTTCACTGCTTCAGGCTGGCTGCTCACTGTTTCCGCGACTTGGCTGTGCAATATGGACACCGTCGGATATTCATCAGACACCTCCTTAGTGGTTAACATTACGGCTTTGCATGTCTCAGGAGACCACAGAGTGCTCGGCCCTTACTCAGCCGGAAGTGCATCAGAATCAGATAATTTCAAGTCTGCAGTTTTATAAGGCTCTTGAGCCTTTCGAGCTAGGGGCCCGAACACTTGTGTAGCATCAGCTACTTTCAATCTGCACCGAAAAACGTCCTAATTATTAAGGCCCCTCTGCAGCATTCTACTCAGGCTATAAGCTCACCCAACCTCCCTGGCCTCCAGGCTGCCTGACCGTCGCACAGCCACAGGATCGCGCCAAACCTGGACCATTGTTGCGGTCTCGGAAGGTCGAACACAAAGAGAGAGCAGCGGTGCAAATGCTGAGGGGGGCGTCGACATGTTGCATGTCTAGACGACCACAGGTGTCATGAGAGAGGCGCTGGGAAAAATCGAGATGTTCATGTAAGCACACCGTTGTAAGTGAGATCGAGAACGTGACGAGGACACCCGCACTTTGAGAGGCCCTAAAACCTAAAACCCTAAACTGGCTTCTCGGGATCCTAGCGAGTCGAAAGAGGGCCGCTTAAACAACAAAAACAAACTGCAGTCCACCACACGGTGCCGAGGTTCCGATCATTGAACTTGGGCCCGATCGTCGTGGCTGGATTCGTCCTGGTGGGCACCCAAGCTCAAGACACCCTGATTTGGCCATTCATTTGTCCATGTTGGATCTGCATCTGCTACGCATCCGCTGCGAGGCGCGTTGCCGTCAATACCCGTATCCCGTTTTGTCGCCTCGATATGTAAATTTTCGATGGTTTGCAGCAGGCAGCAACACTATACTGCTGTTGTCCAACGCTTACGGCCACGAAGACAACCATGGGAGCATCGATGTACCATAGAGCTTGACACACCTGTTTCAGGCACCCCTGAGTCAAAGACGGTTTCAACAAGTTTCGAAACTGGTGCGATTCGGTTATCGAAGGATGGAGAGAGAGAGAGAGAGAGAGAGAGAGAGAGAGAGAGAGAGAGAGACAGCGAGAGAGAGAGAGAGAGAGAGAGAGAAGAGAGAGAAGAGAGAGAGAAGGAAGAGAGAGAGAGAGAGAGAGAGAGAAAGAGAGAGAGAGAGAGAGAGAGCGAGAGAGAGAGAGAGAGAGCGAGGGAGAGGGAGAGGGAGAGAGAGGGAGAGAGAGAGCGGAGAGACAGGGAGTGTGTGTGTGTGTGTGTGTGTCTGTGACTGAGAGATGCACTCCATGGTATTGGACCAAGGCCGCCTAAAACTTTGTTTGCTCTTTCAGGTTGAAGCTTCAAGCCCGCAGAAGCTCAGCGTGGCTGCAGTCTGGACCTGAGACCAGTCAAAATAGACCTTCCGCTGAGATTGTAGGTCAGCCACTTGAGTGATCTATAATCTTGGTGTCAGCAGACCTTCAAAAGGTCGTCTTCCACCAAAATTATACATACCTTGTGCATGTACGAGTCCAGGAGAGACAGCCTACTTTGACTTCAGGAAACGCCCAGGCCCAGGCTTTCTTAGTGTGAGCCCCGAGGTCGGCCACCCTCGCTCCAGGGCTGTGGTATCTGCCGACTGCTGGCTGAAGCCAGGCACATGGGCTTGTTTATATATACACTTACATATGTATGTATGTATGTATATATAGATAGATAGATAGACAGATATAACATGTATGTATGATATGTCTACAAGTATATAAACATACAGATATATATATATATACACATACACATACATGTACACATTTGTATGGTTAATATGATACCATATGTTCAGAATGCTTATGGGCTTGTGGATTTGACGGAGACTGTCGGTGGCTCTTTGGGAAGGGGAGGGAATTTCGGATTTATTCCTCCGGAATTGTTGCATGCGGCTGAAATTTTATGCCCATCGTGGCAAATAATTTTGTACTCGTTGGAGGCGTTTCCTACTTCCTGCTGCCGCTGAGCCTGCACGAGAACACGGTCATGCCGGTGGCAGACTCCCAAGATCAGTTCCCACCTTGCTTGCGAAAGGCTCTGAGGATGATTGAGAAGCTTGAGTGCAGTGCTTGCGTTGTGACAGCAGGTCATACATCATAGGAAACCGGTAGTGTATACCGCGCACGTATATGGGTGTTGTAAATACAGCATCTCATACTACCGCAGGACGAAAGTTCGCCACACTGCCTTCAACTCAACATATGTAGTAGTGCCACCCCTTCTCCCCCCTAGACTCCTCCACAAGATCCTCAAGGCTCTCTGCCGAGAACATTCTAGTAGTATAATTTTATTCCAGGGAATGCACTACTCCGCCAGTCTGTTCTGGCCTCTCCGCTTCTCCGCGGTACATGTACATGGTACTTTGAGACAATCCTCCGTATGTCGAAACTTTTGTCCCGGTGATGTAGGTATCGAGAGGCCGCCAGGCCTGTCAATTGCTATATACATGGGTCTTAAAATGTCTTAAAGTACGTGTATAGGGATTACTTTTAAGGACAAAGTATATTATCATGTGAGTGCATGAACCTTTAGGGTAATCCAGGTCTTCTCCTGCTTCAGCCGCAAAGCAGTGCAGATCAAGGAGCACACGTTCTCCGAATCGGCACCTCGGCTGCATGGGTTTAGGGGTTGTAGGGTTATGTCCGCTTTTCAGCACAGCCCTCTCATGCTGCTGTAGGAAACGTAGAGATATGAAGACCACCTCAGGCCGTGCTGGCTTCGTGGGGTGCCTTCATCAAGCCACGTGGCTGAAAACATCAGTTTTTTTCTACGGTGATGGGTTTGCATGCAGAAGGCCGTGCCATGTGCCATAAAACGTCACGGGTGTCAGATGCACCGTGCAGGGTCTTTGCCATGCTCTGTGCTGCTTGTTTTTGGCGCGGTTTCTGCTTGGCAAGGTCATCGGATCCATCGCCGGACAACTTCCATGGCGCAAAGCCAGGTGCCAAAGTTTGAGAACTACCGAAGCGCCGCTGAACTTGCTCGCCCACCTTTCCGTAGACTTGAACTCGCAATACACCTCAAAGCGGAATGCTCTTGACTTTGCTTTGCTAGCCAAACTGTCAGAATGGCGGTACTGGTGCAAACCCTTCGTGTGTTTTGGTTCGTTCTGTGCGGAGTAGCTGTATCGGGTTGCGGCTAGGTCGACGCTCTTCATGTTGAGATGCTATCTGGCCTTCCACTCACAGAAACAGTTGTCCTACCGAGGGTCTACACGGCCAAGAGTGGAGGTGGCATGGTCGCTTGCATGGCCTGGCCCTCAACGAAGAAGCGGTTCAGGGTTTGGGGTCTGATGCCGTTAATCGGCAGAGGTTTGGCACTGGCTCCACAGCACGTGCTGTGAAGGGCTTCCAGGGTCCAATTTCCGGGCGAAGTCGCGAGCCTGTTGCATCAGGGTTCTAAGTGGTGGTTTACGAAATTTTGGGGTCGGTCCGCACCGTGCACTCCAGACGTCGGGATCTCCGTCGCATCATCAACACACGCCGGTAGAGAGTTCCATGTTTGTCCCGTCCTGAACTGATCATCCGGTTGCAAGAGCTCTCGACGAATTTCCTTCGCGGGTTCCACTTTCTGACCCGCTCACCACTTCATCTCTCGCACTTGCTTCCGCCACAGGCCGAGAACCACAGCCGTGGTCACTTTGCAGCCGGAAGCCTCAGCTGATCCCGAGAGTGCTTTCAGAGAATCGTTTTTTGAGTCACTCGCAGAAGCGAGGCCGAGTTGACCTTCAACAGCATTGAGGATGGCAAACTCCTCTTCTCAAGGCGTGCATGTGCTTAAGTCAAGGGGGCTCTTCCTTCCAGGCATCGCTTCTTGCGATGTCTTCGAAGACTGTCCGGTCTTTTTTCCCGAAAGGGTCCTAAGTACCTATAATAGGGGATACTTACCCATAGAATACTTATTAGTATTTCCTCCTCTAGACAAATCACGTCAAAATTCTTAGTGCTTAGGCCCCTTTGCGTTTGTCTTGGGAGCCCTAAACCCCCCAAAAACCCAACCCCCGCCCCCACTAGAAAACCCTACTTAAAGGATCATGGGACTTAGTAACTAGGGTTATAATTAGGGTAACTATACTTGTAACCCCAATTAAGGTACTTACAACCTTACTTACTAAGTCCCATGATCCTCCAAGTAAACCCTATTCTTGGGAGAAGCCCCTCGAAGTGTCAGGCGCAGCGGGATCACCAAAGATTGGGTCGCGCCGGGACAGGCTCAGATCCTGCAGGCAGGGATCCATGGAAGTTTTTCCTGAGGCTCCACCCTTAGGCCCCATAGTAGTTCCTTTTTAGGATTACCTTTGTAGATTTCTAGATATGAATCCCAAAAAGGATCGACTATGGGGCCTATGGGCAGGCTGCATATGTCTTGTAAGTTGTTTGAGCTAGGTCATGCTTGCTGCATATGATTTTATTTCCTAGCCACTCTCATTGAACTTCACTCCTTGGAGGGCTGTCTTCGACAAGCTTCAGACTCTGTTTGCCTACCTTTCCTGCGACAGCAAGTGAGGACCGGTTCATCCTGATCTCACCCACCTCGAACCATATGGTTCTTTGTGGCTCAGGTTGCCATATTACTCGGAGTACTCTTGGCCAAGAAGTAGCACCAAGCCATGGCGAAGGTGCGAGTGATGAGGGCTATCGCTCTCCTGGCAGCAGCTCTTAATTAAAATAGGTTTTTGAGGACTATAATTATAAGAAGGAGCCCCCAAAAGAGTATAGGTAACTATAAGGCCCCTACATTAATGTAGAACCCTTAAAGGGAGCCCTAGACCCCTTAAAGGAACCCTAAACCTCTGAATTAAAGGAATCCTATAGTAGATTTGAGGCAGCAGCGCTCATGGCTGCCTCCGTTGCCCGCGCCTTCGTGGGTGTGCAAGCGCCCGCTCCGCGAGTCCAGACGCAGCTCCGTGCCGGTGGGGAGTACACCGGCTGCTTGGCTCTTACTTACTAGTTTTATGCTGTTATAGTATGAAAATCTTCCAAGCGGACCAGGAATTACAGTTTTTTTAAGGGCTTCTAAGAACAGCCGAGGCTTCGTGCCGGACTTGCAGCGCCGCCAGCTGATGAACTTCGTGCTGGTGACCACCGCCGGCATCCCGGTGTTGGTGGCCTTGGGCTGCTACCTCTGGTACTTCGTGCCACCCGTGGCCGGCGGTGGCAGCGGTGCGACCCTGGCCGGCGATCAGGAGGGCAACCCCATCACTTTGGAGAGCTGGGTGAAGTCGCACAAGGAGAACGACCGCGAGTTGGTCCAGGGCCTCAAGGGCGAGCCCTACTACCTCATCTCCACGGCGGACAACATCAAGGACTTCGCCCTGCTGTCCGTGTGCACGCACCTTGGCTGCGTCGTTCCCTGGAGCAAGAGTAACAACAAGTTCTGCTGCCCCTGCCACGGCTCGCAGTACGATGAGAACGGCAAGGTGGTCCGCGGCCCGGCACCGCTGTCCCTGGCCCTCGCCCACACAACCACCCAGGACGGCAAGCTGGCTCTCACCCCTTGGCCTGAGAAGGACTTCCGCACCGACCTGGACCCATGGTGGAAGGTCTGAGTCTAAGCCTTCTGGCCTCAGTGACCGTCTCAGTAGCATCTCCATATGGCGCAGCTTTGCACGCATGTCGCGTGTGCTGATGCGTTTACAGATGGAGTGAAACACACCTCAGTTTTCCGATTCTCTGCAGGGAGTGATCCATGTCGTTTCTCAGAGTGCATGCAGCATCGGTACATGTATTCGCCATTCCGTCAGGATGTGTTGTTTGACATGAACGTGGGGAATCATGCGTCTCGGTCTCAACGTTTCACGTGAGGAGATGCTACAATACACGAGACTGCTACATCATTGGCCATTTCTCCAGTTCTGCACTTAAAGCACAGGCCCTGTACACATTCCGTTCGCTTGAGAAGATGAGCTCTCTAGTCTGTGCTTCTCGAAAATGAAGGAACCCTCAGCATGGTGGGGGAGTGACTTTGCAGAACTGAAGTACCGAGACTGCTACATGTCGCAAAAAGCCGGTGTTCATTGCAATGTTCTTTGCCCGACTGCGACTTGCAAGAGTTTGTTTTGTCCGAGAAAGGGAGACCCACCCACTGTCGAAGGTGGTGCTGCCGCAAGGCTGGGGTGGGGGCTGGCGGAGCAACCAGCGCTACGAGATGCGATTCGTACGGCCCTGGGCCTCAGAGTTTGTGCTTCAGCAGCTGCGGCTCTCAGGTTGATTTCAGAAATCAGAAGCCCGCAATGATCGCTGAGAAACATCTATATCACAGACCGCACAGGGCTGGCACACATAGTTACCATGTTGCTGAACTTCATCCGCTGGTTCCGCCGCATGCCAAGAGCAGGGTTTGGTTGTTTCAGTGCAGTGCCTTCATCCATGGCCCAAGCATCTCTTCCCGGGCATGGCTTGGCTCAAGTTTTTAAGCAAGACCTGGACCCTTTTCGGGGTCCAGGTACGGCAGCAGCAGCAGAGATCCCTTCCATGGAAGGCTGGCCTCCGCGTTACTGCAACAAGTTCTTAAAGGTCATCAGCGCCCATCAGGCCAAACCTCCTACTCGCACCCACTTGGATTTCAAGAGCTGCTCCAACAGAACAAGGTCGAAGATTTCAACAACAACATCAGATTAGTAAGATTAGTAGTCTTATCAATAGCGAGAAAGTGACCAGTTGAAATTATGGCGACCTACATACCCCAACCTGCTAGAGTTCCGGCGGACAACAGCTGAGCAGCCGCTGGGCAGCAGACTTGCAAGACTCCGGAGTGGTTCACTTGGGTAGCATTTTACATGTCTATGGGTACTTATATAAATCCAGTACAGAATAGAAGTGTTATAGTTTTCATACGATGCCAACCATGAACTAGTTCTACGAGAGGGATTGCAATGCCTTTTGGGGATGCCCTCTTCAACCACTACGATCCTATATAAGCAAACGAGACAGCCCCACACAGGAGCGACAATTGACAGGGTCTAGCTACGTCTTCGGGTTCAAACAGGGAGAGTTGATTCTCGAAGTCCATGTTCTGGCGAGGCGCCCTGCAGTGATATGCTCTTAACTCTTATTAGTGCTTGACAGGCACAGCAGCACAAGACCCTTCAAGAGAGAATGCTTAAACCCGAATCAACCTAATGCCCGTTCGCCGTAGCGTACCTATCGAAAATTAATTACTTCGAAACCGGAAGACTCGCCACACCTTCTCTGTACCGTGCAATGCGAGCCCTTAGCTGAGATCGAAGCTGATGAAGCCTTCTGGAGGCAAGCTTGCACATGGTGCTTTCTGCAACACGGTGCACTTTCTGTTCTATTCAGGGCCACTCGTGCGTCCTGGCCCTATGCGCTCACCAGCTGCAGCAAGTGATATCGCGTAACACAGCGCTCTGTACGAGTAGCAATCACATAGCGTGTCAAAATAAATGTTCCACTTTTGTGTATGCCGAGAACCATATTCCAACGACTAGACTAACGCCACATCAAGGGAAGGAAACCATCCAGAGCTGGGCTTCATGCAGGTGGGCGATGGGGCCCTTCGCTGCAACTCGTCCTGAGCAGGGGAGCTAGAGCTTCTCCGATCTCTAGCTGACTGTGCTACAAGTACCATCAATGGAGAGTTCCGGGGCGTAAAGGTGCCAAGACATGCTGTATACACACCAACATTTCTGGCAGGAGTATGTGCTGTCAGATTCCGTCCGGAGCACTCCTTAAGGGGCCCTGAGAAGCAACTAAATCCCAGCTTGTGAAGCCGAAGGTCAAATCCAGGGCCCTGCCGGCTTCTTCAAACGCGCTGAATGGCTGGCTTAATGGTGACATAAACCCAAAACCTGACCAGACATGGCAAATCAGAGAACCTAGACCGTCGGGGAGATACCGGCTAAGAGAGTGAACATGCATGTTTGTCTCGGCACCCGCTCTCTTTCTGAGACTGTACTCAGGATTCCTTGCACCGCAGGCGGTAAAATTCCGGGGGAGATCCCTGGATGCAGAACAGCTAGGAGGTGTGTTTCTCCAGATTATGTGGTTATTGCCGGGGTCGCAGCAATTAGGATCCTGGTGTTCGATTTGGCTTGAGGCCAGTTCACACAAGTCTAGGATAGTTTGGATTAACATGATTTGCTGCAAGATGCTGCGTCGGCACAGTACAGACACGAGCATAGAGTATCATGCCACTTGAGACTAATTTGCTTCGATTCCCGGAAGCCCAAGTGCATGTGAGATGAGGTACCAAAATGCAGTCATGCTGCTTGAGACTAGTTTGCCTCTAGACCTTTGCGAATTCCCGGAAGCCCACTTGACTGTATAATGGCGTACCATACTGCAGTTGTACCTGGCTTCTAAGTGGATTTCATAAGTACGTTTCAAGGAGGGTCCCTAGGACGACCAACAGCAGAGAGCGCAGACCTCAGTTGTAACCTATTTTGCGGAGTCCCTTGATTATTCAATGCGGGGTTGCTGCAGGAGTGACTTCACCCACTGCCCATTTCAGCAAAGCTTCGTGCGCTGTGGACCACACCACCGAGCAGAGCTGTGTGTGCTTGACAAAGACGATGCTTGTCATGATGATGAGGTCACGAGTTTAGTTGTCGTTGGGGAAATTCGCGGGTTTGTATGGCCCAGGGGTACTTTAGAGGTAATACGGTTTTGCAATTGGGGCACATTATGTTATATTATTAGTATTGGTCATTATATTAAGGAGGCCCCTACAGTCTGTGGGCTTCTCGGTTGTGATCAGGATATCCGTCGCCTGCACGGCGTCTGGGAGAAGTACAGGGACGACCTGACCTGGCCTGTGCATGAGAAAAAGCCGAAGTTCTCTCAAGAGGCAACTTGTCCGCAGCCATGTCCAGACTACCTAACGGATTGACTAGTGCTTAGATTGTAGGGTTGAAAGACGACTGTTTCTTCGCTTCCTCGTTTTGAAGTACGTGTTTTCTCTACTCGTTCGGGTTGGGATGTTGCTACGTTTCCTAACGTCCCATGTCTTCCAGTGGTCCCAGGACTTTGACACTTTTTACGGCATTGCGCAACAAGTTGTGGATGCCATGGTGGAGGAATACAAAGTGCCGATGATTCTGGATCAAGCGACCATAAGCAACACCAACCACATCGGGCACCCTCCACATTGCGTGCCTTGGCGGTTGAAGTCGACATGCCTCTCCAAGTTTGGGGCTTGATGGCCTCCGGCCAGACTCTGAGTGCTTTATTGTTTCCGCAGCCCCGGACATCCACATCCTGTTTTTTGTTTGGTCATACCCAGATGTTGATTCAAAGTTGCTGGGACTTTCTGCGATGGATCTTCGCATGATTGCCCCAAGCCCAAGGCTACCCTACAAGTAGCTTGGTGTACTCCACTACAAAACTTGACCCGCCAGATGGGTAGTTGTCAAAATTATGGTCTCTTTTGGGGTACCCTGAATATCAGGTGCCGTATTATATTAAGGACCCAAAAAGGTACCATCATTTTGACAACCACCCAGATGTATTTTCTGAGGACAACGTGGGTTTTGACTCAGTCTGGCGGAATGGCAGACGCATTCGGGGAGAAGATGAGCTTCCCGCTGCACGAGGAGTAGTGCTTCTGTGCACTTCTGAGCATAAAGGGATCGAGCTCTGAGGGTCCATGGCAGTTTAGGTGTAGCTTGTAATCTAATAAAGGAGTAGCGGTGACATGAATCAGTCTTGCTGTGCAAACCAACCAGTGGAGACTGGATATGACGCATACGCGAGCCGCAGACCTTTTCGCTGGCATTGATTCCGATTCCATAAATTAATCGGCCCCTGTTGGTGTGCAGGCGGCGCCTATGTTCTCTGGAGGCCTGAGAAAACGTCATACAGGAGTCAGGGCACAGCGGGTGGTTAGTTCCCTGTTCTGTTTCAGTGCGTTCCTGTCATGTGCTTGTAGAGTTCGAGAAGCTCCATGCCCTATTGCCGATGATGAAGAGGTCTTGCTGACGAAGCACACAGTTGTCGATTCGCAGCTTCCTAATTCCTGTGCCATCGCAGGAGTTACAGCTGCTCTGTGGCGTTATCTGATCCAAATGGCACCTCAGTGGCAAGCCAGGGGCAGAGGGCGAGGCGGTGCAGCTTGCCTTGAGGCATCATGCTGTGAGAAACTTCGTGGCGCCGTCTCTTGTGTCAGCCGAGGCCATGTAGAAGTTGTAGAGTTTTTCTACGCTGAAAACCGAGGCTACGAAGGAGGCGAACTTCAGTTCTTCGACACCTGGGGTGCAAGGAAGCCAGTCGCCACCTACAAGTGCGGTGAGGGCTGTGGTGTCGCCTTCTGCGGCTGCCAGCGGCATCTGGGTCGAATTCAATTCGGCTTCCGGCTTTTGACAGTTTCGGTCACCACTTATGGGCTGCGCTGTTGTTTGCAAGTCACGTCTGGCAGAGATTTTGAAATGCCTGTTGTTGTGATGCTTGATCTGTTCATGTGTTCTTCTCACGGCAAGCCCAAGACCTCACTTGGCCCTAAACCGTAAATCCCCAACCGCAGACCCAGAGGAACATCCATGCAGTGACTGGTGTCAAGCATGGCTTTCGCCTGGTCCTTCTCATCTGGACGCGGCCTCCCGGTGTGCCTGTGCACGAGACTCAGGCAGGGCTCGGGACTGGAAGACTCTGAGCGCTGAGCTCTTGAAAAGTAATGGAAGACTTCAGCCTCTGGGCATTTATGATGTATAAGTACGTAGTTAACATATTTCTTGTGTACTTATGTATGCACGTACGACGTAGGTATGAACACCTGCATGCATGCATGCATGTATGAATGTACGTATGCATGTCGGTAGCTACTTGTCGGTAGGTGGGTAGGTAGGTAGGCAAGCAGGTAGGTAGGGAGAGAATATGATTAAGAGTGATGCCCAGACAAGAGCAGGCCCACATTTGCTACTTCCGGCCTGGCACCGGCCACGGCTGCTGGCTTCATAGCCTGGTCACTGTGTGGCAATTTGCGCAATGTGTAGTTTTGTAGTTTTAATACTCCTTGCATATTTCCGGTGAGTCGAGAGTTTTTATGTTTGTTTTATTTGCCCAGGTTTCCGGAGAGGGCTGGGCTGATTTTGCTCTTCCCCTTAAGTATGGCCACAGATGGAGGTGTTCCTTCAGAGCGGACTGCGGGGCGGGGACCCTGGACCCTAATCCCTTACGGCAGACTCCTACCTATAGTCTCCATCGTA